CAAGTCTCATTTGCCCTTTCCCCTGTATGAGTGATTGTATGTTTGTTTGTTAGACTAGTTTATGTTAGTGTTTAGTTAATAAAACTCGTGCACAAATTACATGAGTTTCTGATTCTGCCTTCCAAATTAATGTCCCTTTACGATTTGGATCCTTGCTACATGCTCTAATGCATTAATACTGTATGAAGGTGTTTTCCTAGAGTTGACATGATCTTACACTGAATGTTCGCTGGACGAACAGATTAGTTGAGGGCAATTTAATTCTGCTACAGTTACTACTGGCAGCTGATATAAATAATTGTAATTAATCATAATTCATTGTAATTATTTATATACATTTCCCTTTTGAGCTGATTTGCTACACCTTCTATCTGTACACATTGGCTTCTTCCCTTTAAATAAGCAATAAACAATGAAATAGCATTTTCTGATAGTCCTGCCAATCTAAGCCTATTTAATAATATGTCGTGATCCACAGTATCACAGTACATCATGGTTTTAGTAATGCCAAATTCATGGTTTCAAGTCCCACGAATGCATGATTTGCATGACCTTTTGTTTCACATTGTTTATACTTACATAGTGATTTACAGTACTTATTCAGCATATTAAATTTGTAATTTAACATAGGGATACACGGAAAAAAAGTATTTTAACATTGTAAAAAAAAAAAAGTAAAAACAGGCTTTAGGAATTGCACTGAAAACATGGTTGTTAAAAGATTGCATTTTTTCAGTTTCTGTCACACACTCTTCATTATGTATGGCCCATTCTCAGCAGTTACACTTGGTTATACAGTATTTGAAGAGGAAGACTCAATGTAAGTGCACTGCATTATGGTGCCCTACAGATGACATATACAGTATATTGCATTAATTTGTACCCCCGCCTTAGTTATATCTAATGTGTATGCCTGTAGTTCTGAAGGTTATGGCAGTATGATTTTAGGATGTACCTGAGTAGATGTCCATGTGCTCACAGGCTGGTTTGGTGCCAGATTGTTGGGCGACTCCTGATGGCTCCCGCTCATAGTGCCAATTCCCAGTCAGGCCTGTTAAATGCTCCGCACAGAGTGAGGTTGGCAGATCCAAACCTCTGAAATGAACTGTGTGAACAGGCCAATTAAATGTTCCATGCTAAGCGTCTGTGGTTAACATTATGTTGTTCCCTATGTGGTGAGCATTATGCTTATACTTACTGTTTGGCCGAGGCTTCGTCTGACAGTCAGTGTGGGAACAGGCAGGGGAACAGCGTTAGACACCTCAACCATCTGCAGTCTTTTCATAACGCATATATGCAAATGAACTACTAATAATAGCAGTAAAAACCTAGTGCTATCTATAGAACTGGTGTGTTCATTTTGTATTAAGGATTTATCATTTGCAAAGCTGAGCTTTGTAAAAGTATATGTGCTTTTTGACAATAGAAGTCTTATAAAGCATCTGTAATATATCTGCATTGCCATCAGTGTATCTCCATTGTAACGTAGAGATATGCTAGCAAATAAACAGATTTTTTTTTTTCAGTACCAGACTCTCAAGAACAAGACATTTTCCTCTGGAGGAAAGACACAGGCTTTGGCTTTCGGATCCTGGGAGGAAATGAACCCGGAGAACCGGTGAGTCAGAGAGCACACACAAATATACATGCATCCTTCCAACAACGACTGTAAGAGCAGAGCTGATACTGCAAGTCTGTCCCAATCACTGCTGCTTTCTTACACGGCGTGCATCGATTTGAATGGAGACAGCTGCTATGTGCTAGCTTCACCTCCAGAGTGTTAAGCGTGATATGAAGGACAGGGTCCCAGTATCAGAGAAACACAGTGAGGCAATGATTTACATGAATTGACTTGTGCCACAGTCTGCAGCCTGCAAGAGCTGTCCTGCTTACCAGTGTTCTTCTCATGAAATGCATGGCAGATCTACATAGGGCACATAGTGAAGTACGGCTCAGCGGATGAGGACGGCCGTCTGCGCTCCGGAGACGAGCTCATCTGTGTCGATGGCACGGCGGTGGTGGGAAAGTCTCATCAGTTGGTGGTGCAGCTCATGCAGCAGGCGGCTAAACAGGGTCACGTCAACCTCACTGTCCGCCGCAAAAACGCTTACGGAGGTACACCTGCACTGGCATCTGCATTTCTAGTTTTATTTTCATTGTAGTTCATTTCATTGTTTTATTTTCATATGTATTTCTATTTAATTTTTCGTCACTACAGAACACTACAGCATAACATGCTGAAAATCCTATGGACCTTTCTCACATTTCTCACATTTTGTACCACAAATTTATTTTTGCCTTCCCATTCCCATGCCTTCCCATTTGCCTTCCCAAAATAAAAACTGCATGATAATGTTTTGACTTAGAAGCTGGAAGCTTAAACTAGAGAGAGACTGATAACGGCAGAGAGAACGTCAAATTTACCGTAGACGCTCTGAAACACCCTTGCATTAACTATTTTTTTGTAATTTGATGCAAAGGTAATATAATACAAAGCATAATGTTATAAATACACACACACACACACACACACACATATATATATATATATATATATATATATATATAGTATATATTATTATTATTTTTTTAATTCAAATATAAAAAAGGAGGATTTCCGATGTTGATGACTGCTGAAGTACACCATCATGTTGTATTATTATTATTATTATTATTATTTGGGATTATTTAGTTACTGAAACATAACTTAAAATGTAAAAAATATTTAGGAATAAGCTTCAGGAGTAAGCAAAGGCCAAAGCAACAAACCCAAGAGCATTACTACCAGTGTTGAAATCTGTAATGCTATGATGCGTGTTCGTATTGAGAGTAGTATTTACAAATTTTGTAATCTAAGTCAGTCACATTACTTAAACACTAACATTTCAACATTTGTTGAATTCACACCTCTGGAATATTGAGAAAACAAATTACCACAAAGTTGGGTGTGGTAATTTCATTGCCACTTTAGAGTTCAGAGAGATCAAAGAGATCTTTAAAAAAGTTTTGAAATTCTCTTAGACCACTGGCAAGCTCCGTACTGTAAATGTTGCGCTTCGTGGTTATGTGCACGTATTTTAAATATGAGCACTTTTATTACTGAGATGCTGGGAAAGAAGCTCACATCATGCAAAGACGTGATAAAAACTGATAGCCTATATAATAACACTATAGACTATAGTAACACAAAATAATACCTTTAAAGCCTTTTTTTTTACATTTTGGCTTACATAAATTTCTACATATGCCATATGTCATGCTATAGTATCATTAAACTAATGATATCGAGTTTACTAACGTAACTATCTAACAATGGACAAAAGTGTTTTTTTCCTCTAAGCCAATAAAGGCAGCTGTGTAATTTGCACCCTGAATAAACATTTAAAGAATTTAGGGGAAGCATTTAAATAATCCTATGAATGCACTTAAAGAATGCAGAATCAAATTGCTAATTGAATCAAATTTAATTTAATTGTCCATTGTCTCGAGTGGAATCGTTCTGAATTTACAAAAAATTGTTCTTGAATCGAATCGAAAACCTATAAATCATTAATTGAATCGATTCACTGTCAACCCAAAGATTCACAGCCCTACTGGGAAATGATTTCAAGAACAACAGTGAGTGGAAGGTGTTTAGAAGAAGAAGAAAAACAGAAGAAACAATCACAAAGTTTAGGGCCACTATTATGCAGCAACAGATATGCAATCAAATGCTAAATGATGTATTATTTACATAATTTAGGGCACGCACAGCTAATCATTTCAGTAGACCACCAAACAGTCAAATGTTTGCCTGTAAATAAGAGGTTGCATCAAATCATTTGTGCTAATTCCACCTTTTTCACATCACTAATTTTGAGAAGTAAAATGCAAGACAGAAAACTATTTAAACCACAGTGTGTCAGTTCTCCTGTTATTAAATAGGGCATTTAAATCATTAATGTTGCCCTTGTGAGAGACTGACCACAGTGCATTTGTGTGTCTGTAGGATCACAGATCATGCAGATGCACTGACGAGCCTCGTTGTGTGTGTGTGTGTGTGTGTGTGCGCAGTGTATAAGGGTGAGGCAGACGTGCCACCGTCCCCGGCCTCCTCTCACCACAGCAGCACGCAGGCGCCGTCGCTGACAGAGGAGAAGCGCACGCCGCAGGGCAGCCAGAACTCGCTCAACACCGTCAGCTCAGGCTCCGGCAGCACCAGCGGCATCGGCAGCGGCGGAGGCGGCGGCAGTGGGAGCACCGTGGTCAACATGACACCCGCCGCCCTGCAGCCCTACGACGTGGAGATCCAGCGTGCCGAGCACGAGGGCTTCGGCTTCGTCATCGTGTCGTCCGTGTCACGGCCTGACGCCGGCTCCACCTTCGGTACAGTGTTCGTGTGCTCGGCCAGCACACGGCTACGGATGGGCGATACCACTTATTTTGTCTTCGATACGATACCGATACTTTTAAAGACCCGTTTTATTGATACTGAAACCGATACTGATACTTCTAAACTGATCTTTTAAATTATTACATTTATTAAATTACTAAGACTAAAATGGGTAATAATACCCACTTAACTTTATATTTGAAACGCATTTTAGCATTCAGTATGACTTAATTGCAATTTATTAGGTTATATTTTTGTTTACACGTGGTTAAACTATGTTTACTGTAATGGTAACCATGGAAATCTACAAATACTATAGTTAAACTGTGGTCACTTTAATAAAACCATGGTTCATTTTCATAAGGGACTGCAGTGACAGGCTGTTGAATGCATAAAATACAACCTTTTTGTTCTGACAGTGTATGATTTATATTAACGTTCCGATGAGCAGGAAAATAGTTATTTCCTACACAATTATTACTGACATAGGTTATTCGTCCAATTAAATCCATATTGCATGCATTATTTTTTGTTAAATAAACAAAATTACATGTAAATGAAACACACCGTAGTATCCTTATTTTATATTTGACTTTTGATACTTTTGATACTCGCATCAGTATCGATATTTCTAACCACGGCAACAAATCTGAGAGAAGACCGTTAGAACAATGGATGTGATTGATTCATGACTGTGATTTGATTTTTGGTGTTCCGATTATGGCACAGAACGTTGGCGGACTTTACTTGACTGTATACTTGATTATTTTAGTTTGAAGTCACTTATTTTTTTCCCTCTTCTGTCTCTTTGTCTCCCTTTGTCTGTCTTTTTCCCTTCTGCCTCTGAACTGTGACACACGCATTACGCCTTCTTTCTTTGCGTGAACATTTGGGCGGCGTTATGCAAATCTTCCCACATCGTGACGTAGACATGTGGGGGCGTGTTAGAACGAGCCGTTTTAGGAAGGCGTGGTTGACTCTTAACTTTTGTAAAGAATATCTCTTTACAGATCTTCTTTATGCACAAAGAGCTTGTAACACTCCAAAGAGAAAGGGAAAATTGAAATCGCATCATATGACCCCTTTAATACATAATAACTAGGTACTAGCCCTGAACCTGCCCCTAAACTTACCCCTGACCCAAGTAGTTAGCTTATATTACTCAGTAGTCTGTTGGGTAGGTGCACGGTCTGTAAAATGAACTAGTTGCCAGGTTTGTTTAGTGATTTGGTTGTGTTTGTGTGTTTAGGAGGCAGAGTATTACTCGGTTGATCTGGAGAGGGAGAGTAAAGGTTTCGGCTTCAGTCTGAGAGGCGGTAAGGAGTACAACATGGATCTGTATGTGCTGCGATTAGCGGAGGATGGAGCCGCTGTCAAAAACGCCAAGATGAGGGTAAGAGTAAAATGAGTTTTTCTTCCGAACAATAGCTTCTGAAGACAAGCATACAGTTTTCTTAAAAGAAACAAAAGTCCACATTTTTTCTTTGTACAGAACAAAAGCTTTTATTTCGATACATTGATACAAAAGAAAGAAAGGGGCATAAAATATATACGGCAGAATGACTATGTGACACTGTCACATAAGAGACAGGTTTTACCGCAATGATTTTATCTATCATAGAGTTTTAACTGGTTTACATGTTTTCTTAAGTCCATTTTATTTTTCTTAACATTTTAACGTGTATATGTCTTAAAAAATTGTATGCTTGGCCTGTCATGTGACAGGAAGCAGGAACTGTATAAAGAGAGCAGCATGCCAAACAAAGTGGCCACTAACAGCTACCAAACACACCTGGATTGTGGAGTTTCCTTTCCGTGGATTTACCTTTCCAGATTTACTTGCAAGCTAGTGGATTATCACTCATTTTGGATTGTATATACACTGGTGGACTCCCTTTGGGACTTTTTCAGCACTCTAGGATTCTTGGACTGTTTTAGGGTATGGTGCAGAGAACTGTATGCTTTTAACAGACTGAGTTTTCCTGGTTTTATTGTGTTGTTTTAAAGTCCCGTGAACTTTGTAAATGCACCGTTCTAAAACGTATTTCTGTTTTATGTCATTCTTTTAATGCAGTTGTTCTCAAACCTCCATGAAGTACCCCCAGCACTGCACGTTTTGTATGTCTCCCTCTAGCTGACACACCCACTTCAGTCAAATCTGCCCCCATTTTGAACTTTGTAACCCAGCCTGTTAGGCTGATCGTTACAACTGAAAGTCTGTTGGCCTGCTCCTGGAGGACAGCACCTAAATGTCACACACACTGCAGTCCTCGAAGCAAAACGGCCATATATCAGCTTGCTTAAACTGTTAAAATGAGACGTGAAGTATAACAGATTATTTCTAGATCAGCAGATGTTGTGATTGAAATGAGCATTGTCTTTAGTAATGACTAGCAACTGCAGACTATGAGGACTATCAGTCTATTTAGGCCACTGATGACTGTCTTATTAACCAAAGCCTTTGGTCCACTGAGAGAGCCTCTTTTGTCTTCCTCACTTGCTCTTTCCACAGCCGACCAGAGACAGTTTCATGCTGCTATGTCGAAAACTGTCCGGTCCTCTTTAAAACTGCAGACCCTTAAGCCTGTGTTATACTTTCCGTGTCCGCAAGTCCACTATGGTATGCGTGATGTAAAAATCGTCATCGGCGAGTGTGCGCGGAGGCTCTGAGTGGACATCCGCGTGCCTCCCATTTTTTGTGACTGCGCAGACAAGTATGTCAGTAGGCTACTGCGCATGCGCAGGCTGTGTGACGAAGCCCGTTGCAACTCGAGCCTGTACAATCCGTCGATAAAACAATATAAAGACAGCCAGATGTACAATAACTCTGGGCAATTCTTTGTTCACATGTTTGTTTATTGTTCTAGCCGATCTACTACGCATGTATGGAACACGTCCGCTCCGCGGACAGTTTCGGTAATATAATTACAAGTAGTCCACATCCGTGATGTCCACGTACGCGTCCGGATTGTACACGCGGAAAGTATAACACAGGCTTTAATGTTCAGATGCATACACCAGCTGCTCATTTTGGCAGCTTAATTTTTGCTTGGTGTGTTGGGACAAAATTGACGGTCACCTACAACTTTGGCATTAGAAGGCTGTGTGTGTATGTCATTACTGCTTCATTTCTCTTTCAGTTTCCGTATCCATCTCTAAACCGAGATTAGCATTCTACTACAAACAGTAGCTAATATGGATGAAACCATATTAGCAATATCGCGATATCAATATTGTCTCAATATTACCGTGGTCACATGACAATGTGAAACGATAGGTCTTCTGGGAAAAATTTAAGTTTTTCAAATATATTTGCTTTGGGCCATTATGCTTTAGCACAGTATCTGTCAAACACAGTATCACACAGTATCTGTCACACCGAAAGCACAATATGCTTAATCCCTTCATCAAGTCTGTTTTTTCAAAGTGAAGCAAGCACACACTTGGTTCAGACGATCAGCTCGTGATCCGGTGTTTTCCGCATCTCAGAATGGCTCTGTTCACACTGAATGAATGCAGTCAACTCATTTACTGCATGTGCTGTGAGTTTAGCGTGCGTTTGGGAATGAAACAGCCACCAGTAAGGCTTTATTTTCACAACAGCATATCACTAGATCTGTAGCGAGACGGGTTTTTGTAAGTCTGTTTTCACTGAGCTGGAGTTTCCTTCAAAATAAAAGCGTTAAAGTGCAGTATGAATTGCTGACAGCTAGCGGTTTAAACGCAGTCCAAATTCAAAATATCTCTTTCAAGTGTAGAAATTAGGAAAGAAGTATTGTCAAGTATCTGTCACACCGAAAGCACAATATGCTTAATCCCTTCATCAAGTCTGTTTTTTCAAAGTGAAGCAAGCACACACTTGGTTCAGACGATCAGCTCGTGATCCGGTGTTTTCCGCATCTCAGAATGGCTCTGTTCACACTGAATGAATGCAGTCAACTCATTTACTGCATGTGCTGTGAGTTTAGCGTGCGTTTGGGAATGAAACAGCCACCAGTAAGGCTTTATTTTCACAACAGCATATCACTAGATCTGTAGCGAGACGGGTTTTTGTAAGTCTGTTTTCACTGAGCTGGAGTTTCCTTCAAAATAAAAGCGTTAAAGTGCAGTATGAATTGCTGACAGCTAGCGGTTTAAACGCAGTCCAAATTCAAAATATCTCTTTCAAGTGTAGAAATTAGGAAAGAAGTATTGTCATTTCCCTACTGTAGTGTAAAGCAAAAATAATATGCCTATGAAATAGACCGATTTATTTTACAGTGCAACTGTTTTACAATATATGGCTATTACTGTCATTGTTATTATTATTATTCTATTCTAATTTGCTTGGCTTCCTAAAACCCCAGTGTGAATGTAATTTAGACTGAGACTGTAGATCACAAATAAAAAGAGGGTTGAGTCGCCTTTAAAGTTCAGCTACAAGTCAATTCACTGACTTCTTTCTGATTTTAGTTTTCTTAGTTAAGAAACATGAGTTGGAGCTCTTAATTTTGAAGTCCCAAAGTGCACTAGATAGAATAATTTAACTTTAAAATTGACAAATTCTTCATTTGTATGTTTTTCTTTTTAAATATCGCAATAAATTTCGTATTGTGGACTTCATATTGCAATAATATCGTATCATTAGATTTTGATATCGTAACATCCGTAGGAGCTATGGTGCCATGAAAAGGTTTTTGCCCCCTTCCCGTTTTTTTTTTTTTTTTGCATTTGTCACACCTAAAAGATTCAGATCATCAAACAAATTTTAATATTACACAAAGATAACCCGAGTAAATATAAAATGCAGTTTTGAGAATTATTTCATTCATTAAGGGAAAAAAGCTGTCCAAACCTGCCTGGCCCTATGTGAAAAAGTAATTGCCCCCTAAATCTAATAACTGGTTGTGCCATCCTTTGCAGCAACAACTGCAATCAAGCGCTTGCAATAACTGGCAATGAGTCTTTCACATCGCTGTGGAGGAAATTTGGCCCACTCTTCTCTGCAGAATTGTTTTAACTCAGCCCCATTGGAGGGTTTTCGAGCATGAATGGACTGTTTAAGGTCATGCCACAGCATCTCAATCGGATTTAAGTCTGGACTTTGATTTAGCCACTCCAAAACCTTAATTTAGTTTTTCTTGAGCCATTCAGAGGTGGACTTGCTGGTGTGTTTGGGATCATTGTCCTGCTACATAACCCAAGTGCGCTTGAGCTTGAGCTCACAAACTGATGGCCGGACATTCTCCTTCAGGATTTTCTGAGAGTGCAGAATTCATGGTTCCATCAATTATGGCAAGTCATCCAGGTCCTGAAGGTGCAAAGCAGCCCCAGATCATCACACTACCACCACCATGTTTGACACTATGATGCACCACCATGTTTGACACTATGATGTTCTTTTTATGAAATGCTGGGTTGGTTTTACGTCAGATGTAACGGGACACACACCTTCCAAAAAGTTCAACTTTTGCCACATCGATCCACAGAATATTTGCCCAAAAGTCTTGGGGATAATCAAGATATTTTTTACAAATGTGAGACGAGGCTTTGTGTTCTTTTTGGTCAGCAATGGCTTTTGCCTTGGAACTCTCCCATGGATGCCGTTTTTGCCCAGTCTCTTTCTTATAGTTGAATCATGAACACTGACCTTAATCGAGGCAAGTGAGGCCTGCAGTTCTTTAGATGTTGTTCTGGGTTCTTTTATGACCTCTTGGATGAGTCGTCGTTGCGCTCTTGGAGTAATTTAAAGGCCAGTCACTCCTGTGAAGGTTCACCACTGCTCCAAGTTTTCTCTATTTGTGAATAATGGCTCTGACCGTGGTTCACTGGAGTCCCAAAGCCTTAGAAATGGCTTCATAACCCGTTCCAGACTGATACATGTCAACTATTTTGTTTCTCATCTGTTCTTGAATATCTTTAGATCACAGCATGATGTGTTGCTCTTTAAGCATGCTTCACGTTGTCAGACAGGTTCTATTGAAGTGATTTCTTGATTCAACAGGTCTGGCAGTAATCAGGCCTGGGTGTGGCTAGTGAAATTTAACTCCGCTTTCTAAAATAATTAGGTTAATCACAGTTCTTTCATGATTTAACAGGTCATTGTAACAGATTTAGCAATTACTTTTTCAGCTTTTTTCCCTTAATAAATGAAATTATCATTTAAAAACTGCATTTTGTATTTACTTGAATTATCTTTGTGTAATATCAAAATTAGTTTGATGATCTGAATCTTTTAAGTGTGACAAATATGCAAAAACAAATAAAAAAACAGGGAGGGGGCAAAAACCTTTTCACGGCACTGTAACTGTTTTTTTACACTTTACCAACTTTAGTATCGGTCAAGATTCGTTAACTAGTAATACAAGTGTATGTTTTCAGCTGTTAACAGATAGCATTTTGATTTGTGAGAAGCACCCAGTTTTGTTCCTCATCGCCGCTCATGATGCCCTCTTGAGCCTCCCATAAGCTAATGGTGGTGTCCGCCTCGTTTACAGGTTGGTGATGAAATACTGGAGATCAATGGTGAAAGTACGAAAAATATGAAGCATTCTCGCGCCATCGAGCTGATCAAGACCGGAGGCAGACGAGCTCGACTGGTGCTGAAGAGAGGAGATGGATCCGTCCCAGAGTATGGTGGGTAACAAACAAGTTAAAGTCTTATGCTTTTTGCATTTTGTTTCGAAGCGTTCGGTTTTTGTGTTTTAATTTATCCTGAACTGTCTTTTCTTCTTGTTCTCTACCACAAAATTGTTAGTTCTTGGTGATCAATCAGCCTCTGTTATGTGTTCATCTAGAGAGTGAGATCTTCTGAACAGTCTACAGTCAGCCAATAAAACTTTTGTGATTTGTCAGAGTGCTGCATGTTTCCTTTCTCTTTATTTATCTCTGTTTCTTTCTCTTCCTGATCTCTTGTTCTCTGGTGGGCTCCTCAGCTATGATGGGCCCCCATCTCACTGCCTGTCTGAGGAATGATAAGCTGGGCGAGCCCTGCTTCTACCTAATGGGTCAAAACCAAGCCACGGTTTGTAAAGGACGTTCTGTGTGTCAACCCTTCCTGTCACCCAGTCACACGTTATAAGCCCTGCTTAGGCACACATGTGTCGCTGCTTCACCCGCTCTCATCTCACCCCGGTGAATCCATTCAGCCGCTGGCCTCTGATCGCATGCTCAATGGATTCATGCTCCTGATGGAATGCTTTGATGCCTGTGTGATGGACAGTGTGTGGATGTTGTGGACACTGCAGTGCTTTCATATCACTGATAGCATAGATGGGTGAATGTTACAAGAACTTGCCTGGGTCACAAAAATATAGATAGCATTATTAAAATGATAAGAAAAATAAAAAAAGTATCTTTTGTTATTACCCATAGAACAAGTTTTGTTAGATTTACCCATGAGCAAGTAATGAAATTAGTTTGCTTTTGTATTCTGGTCTTGTGATAAAAAGATAAAACTTGAAAAGGTGTTGTAGTAATGACAAACAGTGTCCTCCACAAATATTAGTACCCTTGATGAATATAAGCAAAACAGGCCATAAAAAATGTCTGTGGTATTTATCCTTCTTTCAAAAATCTAACCTTTAAATAAAGTAAAATAATTGGAAGAAAAAAATGCCTGTGTTGAATGGACCAGGAGGAGTTTTTAAGGTCCAGTTCTCGTTATAAACAAACCATAAACGACTTTTGCCTTAATAAACTCCTAAATTGCTGCTTATCAATAGTTAGTAAGGTAGTTGTTAATTTTAGGTTTTGGGTAGAATTAGGGATGTAGAATATGGTCATGCAGAATATGTGCTTTATAAGTACTAATAAACAGCCAATATGTTAATTATAGGCATGTTAATAAACAACTAGTTAATAGTGAGAATTGGTCCCTATACTAAAGTTTTACAGAATTCTCTTTAGATTTGACATTAGGAGCCAACTGATAGTTTCTGTACTGTTTATGTAGGTAATTAGCATGAACCATAATGTGGATGAGCACAATAACTGTATTGCATACGCTGCTCGTGAAAAGTAGTTTCAAGGAGTAATCAGGTGTCTTAAAGACACATCTGCAAGGATTTGCCATTGCCAGTGGTTTCAGAAAATGCACATTTGGCACCCGTTTCACCCTGTAATTTGGTAAGGTTCATTGTGAAGACATTTTCCTTACCACCCCATCTTGTTGTTACCCTGACTAACATTAACACTGTTGTCCATTTGTCCTTGGCATATCTTTCTTGTCTCAACATAATGGCATAGTATGCTCTAAAGCAGTGCTTCTCAAACCTGGGCACCCCAGCACTGCACATCCTCATAGGATGCAACCAGTTCAAGTCCATCAGTCTTGACACATGTGTCTATAACGGTGATGTTTGAAGCTCAGAATGTCGTCACCCAGCTGGGAAGTCCTGACAGTCTGTCCTTCTGAGAGTCTGGAGGTTGGAAATCGAGTGAGGTCTGCTGCTGGCTGTTGCCACGCCGTGTCCTCGCTATGAAAAGGCTTGAATCTCTTTGAAAACTTCTTGAACTCAATGAAAACACAAAAAACAGAGTTGTATATTCAATAAAATAAAGCTATTCAGGAAATCAGTTTTAAAAGCTGTGTTAAAATGGATATATTTTGACTCTCTTACAGAACTAAACAGCTGCCATAGAGACCACGGGTGGCAAGAATTATAGTTGGTCTAAACTACCCGTTAGCCCCCACTCACCGTCTCTTCATCATAAGCTTGGCCCCCAAGGCACTAAAAGACAAGGTTCTTGCCCATGACTGCATCCATAGGATTTAGGAGTACAGTATGCACAGATTTACAATGACCATCTATTCTTGCCTAAGAATTCTACAGCTGAAGAGAAACTAATAAAACTGCATCTTTCTGGCCTGGGTTCTAGACCTATGATGTACTGTATCTCCTCTCTGGAGATGATTTCCATGCATCATGACCATTCAGGAATCGATAGTGAGTGGAGTTCCCCATCTGGGAATGAGCCAGTACAGCAATGCCTTTCTTAGTGGGGAAAGCTTTATTCACACTGATCACCCTTGCATTTAGGAAGAGTTACCCTGAGAGCAACCAGTAGAATTGGTGTGCTGAATTGTGTGCTTGGTCTTGATGTTAAGCATCTGTAAATCTCATTTTACAGATGTTTTCTAAAACTGTTGGTCCACCGAACTGTATACCATGATCACATATGAGAAACACCAAAAGGTGTTTGACCCTGTGTTGCCAGAAGCAAGAAGCATACTATCCATTGTTGATGCCTCAAAATTATATATTTGACAATTTGCTAAAATTTTCGCTCCACTCCTATTTTTGGGGAGCACTGATTTTGCATCTCACCCGTGTCTGTAAATGACATGCTTAAGCAGTACAGATTCCTGCCGTTCTCATGGTGGTGACCACAGCTGCCCGGTCAGATGAAACAAATCAGAGCTTTAATCTAGGGCAAAGCTGGGTACAGAACTTTGCAGAAACCCAAATAAACACAAGATAGTTTTGCGTTTTCTTGGTCAGTTTCCACTTGTGTAGTTTATTCGTTTCGATGACTTGATTGAATAAAACACAAGTAGGTGTGTCCAAATCTTTGCCTGCTTGTGTATAGATGTTGTTGAATGAAATGTTTTCTTTTATGCTCGATCACATCAAGTGCTGTCTGTTTGTTCAAGTCCAAATGTAATGCCTTTCTTTATTCATTTCCAGACGGCCCAAATGACAGCTACCCTCCCTCACCCAGGCCACAAAATAATTCGAAAGTGAGGGCCTTGCTGGCCAGCGGCCCCTTTCATCATCCGTCCGAGTCCAGCTATACATCAGAGCATCACACACCATCCCAGCCCAAGCAGCAGCAACCGAAAGACAGGCAACATGATCCAGCGAGAGAACGAGAGAGGGACAGCAGAACAGGGCTGTATTCCAGCGCTCCACTCCAGCCTTCCTGGAACAACCGTCCCAGCCCCTCACCATCCCCTGACAGCAGCAAAAACAACTCCCACCGCAAGGTCAAGAAGTCAGAGTCGGAGAGCAGCATTGCCAAGCTCTTCAAAACGCTGAGGAAAGAGGGTGGATTTGGGAGGAAAAACTCCAACCAGGACCTCCTGAGGCGAGGCCGCAAACCCTCCGTAGACACACAGAGTAGCACGGGGTCTCAGGTGCGCAGCGGGTCCTTGGATCGCTCCTCCACCCGGAAGCGCAACACCTCTCCAGACCGCCGCAGGGCCAAGTCTGTGGACCGGCGAACGACACGCTCATATAAAGATCAGTCCCCTGAGCGAAGCTATCAAGACACTTCCCAGGACCTGCTGTGCCAGATCTCCACTCCAGAAAGGCTTGTCCGGCCCCAGAAAGAGCCCCAAACTCCCCGCAGGAACTACAGCAAAGAGGGCTACTTCACATCCACCCCTGAGCGATCCCACAAACCCACGGCCCACGCTCTCGCTTGCACACCTGAACGTGGCCTAAAGAACAGGAACGTTCTGCTCAACAGTTCTCCATCCAGTCAAGCTGAGAGACAGGGATACTTCATCAACGGAGCCCCGGAAAGATGCTTCCACAGGAGATCGGACAGCAGCAGTGACGGAAGTTACTTGGAAGAGGCCGCTGCTCCACAGCTTAGGGATTATTACAACGCACTGAAAGCCAGCGGTGCGAGCGGGAGCGGCGTGGGCCTCGGCCTCGTTCAGAGCTCTCCGAGCAAGAGACGGCTTTACAAGGAGAACCACGCAGACCTCAGCATCTGAGCTCCACAGGGCTGAGCTTCACCACAGCGGAACAAGGCTCCTTTTTCTAGTTTGTTTTGATAGGTTGTGTTGCGAGTGAGATCCATGTTTTTTTTTTTTTAAATGTGTCTACTTTGCGTGTCCAAATTGAGATTTACTGAACAAGAGCACAAGCATTCAACGTTTGTTTCTTTGTTTGTACATTTTAATAGACGTGCGGCGAAACCTGAACTCAGACTATGATGCTACTGTTTAATTGAGTAATATATATTTAAGCTGTATATTTATTTTGAAAAACTGAAATGTTACTCGATGGGATGTCCAGATGAAAAAAAGCATCATTCTGTCTTGGTCTGTTGTATAATATCTGACTTTGTTAGTCCTAACACTGCACTGGACTGAGGCATGAGCCACCCATTAGCAAAAAAGAGGGAAAAATTAAGGTAGAAAAATATTATGTTGTGGCACAAATTTTTTTTTCTCCATAATCACCAGAACTTAGTCTAAAGGCACATATGCACAATTGAGAAAACTTGACCCAATTTTAGCTTAAAGCAAGTTATTTTAGGAATAAATCGGATGCTTTTTAAAAAGTGACTTAAAATGCATTCAGCCTGTTTGTCAGTGTGTTCCTTGGGAAACAAACCACAGAGCAGTTGAGCTACAGGAACATTCAACTATAAAAACACTGAATATATGAAATGTGAGAGGCTGTTCTAATTCAGTCATTTTAAGCAAAAGTTTGAAGTATTTTGAATTGTTCCTTATGCAGCCACATTTACCTCCATAAAGTCAAGTACCAAAGGCGATTGAAATGCTCTGAACGAATGGAATCCTTAACAAGCTTGTGAAAATAAATGTGACGCATCGACGCTGCACACATTATGAGCTGAATGTTGAGTTGCAGCATGGAATATTCAGGTCGCCAGATCTGATCCAAAAGACTACGTGAAAACGGCAATCTGCCAATCTGAGCCACCACTGGTTTTCCGTCACGCTCTCGAGAGCCACTGAGCTTCAGTGATATACAGACGCAATGCGTGTTTGTTTGGGAACACAGCTGTTTCGTGCATTTCGACAGGACCAAGAACAGGGAATTCCTTCAGTGTCATCTGAATAGTACTGTATCAAAATGAACGTATCAGCTGCTGTCTTTTGTACAAATTTTATTACTGTATGTACTTCAAACCTGTGTAGGTAAGGATACTGTTGCCTTTTCTCTGTACAAAAAATAATTTATGAAAGATGTCCACCTAAAAGAAGATGCGAATATGTTTCTACTGTGCTCACTGGGACTATGAGTAACGTGTGTACTCAGAATCAGGCGTATGTAAAGTTGTATTTTTTCCCTCTCTCCAGGAAGGATGGGAAACGGATGTTTTTCAAGGAAGAGGGTTGATTATCTGTTGTGATGGATAACCTGCTTTTTTTAATGGAGATCTTGTATACTGTCTGTGGTCTCTGAAACGTTCTATGGATTTTAAATGCTTTTTTTTCTGTGTCGATAAAAGCAGTACATGTATATGGTCTAGTTTTTTTTTTTTTTTTTTTTATGAAACTATGCATATATATAAATATATAAATTCTGCATTGTCCATAGCGTTATTTGACTCATGAAATTACACATAACATTAGTCTAAGTTCAAGTAGACGTGGACTTACACAGTAAAGCTGTTTTTCTTGTTTGGATGGATCACAATGTATATGTAGCTATCAAAAAGAAGTCTGTGAATGCTATTTTTATTATCAAATAAAGTTTTGCATACAAATTCACCATTCCATGTTCATTGTGTTGGGCGCATAACTAAGCTCAAGTGATAACCTGAATGGGTCATTCCTAGCATTCGGTGCCATTTGAGTCCCCATGATATAATGTGGTATATTTTCTGTAAAAATTTGCTGACCCTCTACATAGAACACAATAAATATGTACCCAAAATTAATAAATAAAAAAAATAATTGCTCCTATTTTAGTGCAAGAAGGGTAAACTGTTATGTTCCCAAGTTAGCTTTCATAACTTCAGCCACAAATATAAGTAATAAAAATCAAACAAATTCCAAAATTTTCAGTATATTCTTATTTATAATATTCCTCAACAAAAATGTGTTTTGTTATTTATACATTTTAATGCTTAAGTATTTAAAACATGTGTCCCTGAATTGAATGTCCCCCCCTGTTACTCTGATGAAAAGTCCTTATGAACATGGCCCTTGAATGTTTCTCTAATAACATGACTCTCGGGGAGTAAAACACTTTTTGAGTATACGACTTGTTGAACTATTTACAAGAAGCTGAGTCAGTAACACTCTTTAATTCACCCTTTTTTAGTGTTTTAGAATGATTCACTGATGTGGTAAAGCATAACATGTCCGATCTGTTATACTTATCTCTAGTGGAAACATATTTTTTGTAATTTTGAAAATATGTTTAATTAACAGGTTAAAAATATTCCTCAATAAACACTACGCACTAGCTTGTTCATCACATGATTAGCATGTGATCTGATTTTAGCATAAAATGTCCCTCCTGTTACGCTCCACACTGTTACTGTTTTGCACAAAAAAGCAGTGATGCTACAGGGCTCGCTGTGATGCACACTATGAAAGAAGGCAGATATACCACAATAAAAAGAAGGAGAGGTGGAGAAAGAACATAAAGGAAGAAAAAATCAAGTGTTAGAACTCAGCTTTGTTGATTAGATAGAAACTGTAATAAATTATCTTGTCTTTGCCATTACAATGTGTTCGTGCCTGCGTGCTGTGTGTGTGTGTGTTTCCTGTGTTATGGGCTCCAAATGTCCCCACGGGTATAGTAATAACAGTAAACTTTGATCTTGTGGGGACATTTATTTGGTTCCCATGAGAAAAAAAAGCTTATACACCAAATCGTACAGAATAAAGTGTTTTGAAAACCTAAAATAACTGTAGTTTTGTGTGAGGGGTAGGTTTAGGTGTAGGGTTAGTGTAAGGGGATAGAAAATGTGTGTGTGTGTTTGTATATGTGTGTTCTCGGGGAGTAAAACACTTTTTGTGTATACGACTTGTTGAACTATTTACAAGAAGCTGAGTCAGTAACACTCTTTAATTCACCCTTTTTTAGTGTTTTAGAATGATTCACTGATGTGGTAAAGCATAACATGTCCGATCTGTTATACTTATCTCTAGTGGAAACATATTTTTTGTAATTTTGAAAATATGTTTAATTAACAGGTTAAAAATATTCCTCAATAAACACTACGCACTAGCTTGTTCATCACATGATTAGCATGTGATCTGATTTTAGCATAAAATGTCCCTCCTGTTACGCTCCACACTGTTACTGTTTTGCACAAAAAAGCAGTGATGCTACAGGGCTCGCTGTGATGCACACTATGAAAGAAGGCAGATATACCACAATAAAAAGAAGGAGAGGTGGAGAAAGAACATAAAGGAAGAAAAAATCAAGTGTTAGAACTCAGCTTTGTTGATTAGATAGAAACTGTAATAAATTATCTTGTCTTTGCCATTACAATGTGTTCGTGCCTGCGTGCTGTGTGTGTGTGTGTTTCCTGTGTTATGGGCTCCAAATGTCCCCACGGGTATAGTAATAACAGTAAACTTTGATCTTGTGGGGACATTTATTTGGTTCCCATGAGAAAAAAAAGCTTATACACCAAATCGTACAGAATAAAGTGTTTTGAAAACCTAAAATAACTGTAGTTTTGTGTGAGGGGTAGGTTTAGGTGTAGGGTTAGTGTAAGGGGATAGAAAATGTGTGTGTGTTTTTGTATATGTGTGTGTGTGTGTGTGTGAGAGAGAGAGAAATAATATATTCTCTAATATAAACTTTCAATTGTAAAATACAATGTTAAACCTATTTTGTAGCCTAATAAATGGACAGCATAACAAATGAGATCTTATAATAATACTGTAGGAATAAGAACAACTTACTTTAATGTGATAATAGTCCTTATATCCTATAATTTGTATATACAGAACAATTTATCTTTTGTAGTGATTGTAAATTGTGAAAATATGCTTCTTGTATTAGGCAATATGTTGACATATAGGGTACAATGGGGCAAAAGGCACTCCGGAGTAAAAGGCGCCTTTGATATCATTTTCATCTAAACCACTAGATGGCACAAAAAAACATGGCATAGCACTTTCCAAAACATCCTTTTCAAGATGCACGTGTTTATTTGTCTGATCTTTGACACGATCGCACGCAGCAGCGCAAAGTTGATTCTGTGCTTACTTGATCTAATATTTGATGTTTTTTAAAATGTTGTAGATTTAAGTAGCAAATGAGAATCACTAAAATTAATGCATATATTTTGAAAATCTTTATGATTTTCAGTTTTAAGATAATTAAAGCAACAGTTTTTTAAAAAACGAAATAATATATGTCACATGTTTGTTTCTGTTTAGTTCCTGTTTGCCCCTATTTGGTTCAGTTCCTGTTCTCATTTAGTAAATCATTGTTTATTCTGTTCATCTGTTTTGATTGATTACGCCTCACCTGTTTCTGTTCTGTTCCCACGTTCCATGTGTTTATAAGCCCTGTGTTTTCCTCAGTTACCTTCTCTGGCGTTAAAGTTACATTGTGGTTGTTGTCTCCCTCTGTTTCCAAGTGTTTTGTTCTTGTTTTGATCATTAAAGACTCTATCGTGGATTCCTTCCTCTCTGTATGCTTCCTCCCGGTAGTCCATAACTTTTGGACCAGGTACACTCTGTCATACGTTCGATGGCTCGCGTACGTGGGTTCGTGTCCCCTGCGTGCTGCCCCCCCAAAGTGGCCTTCACCCATATGGGGGTTGTCCATTCACTCATTGGAGCGCCGGAATGACCCCTGGACCAATGGACCCTTTGGCCTGGACCCCCGCTGACCACTGCTGACCACTTCCATCCCCCCCGGGCCACGCCCCCCCAGGTCCCACGAACCCACTATTTGTCCATTTGCCCACTATGTTGGCGGAATGACCCCTGGACCCCCACTGACCACTGCCCCGCCCCCGGGCCACGCACCCAGGTCCGACGAACCCACTATTTGTCCATTTGCCCACTATGTTGGCGGAATGACCCCTGGACCCCCACTGACCACTGCCCCGCCCCCGGGCCACGCACCCAGGTCCGACGAACCCACTATTTGTCCATTTGCCCACTATGTTGACGGAATGACCCTTGGACCCCTGCGGACCCCCTTGGCTACGCACCCCAGGTCCCATGAACTCACTATTTGGCCATTATAATGACGGAACGACCCCGGACCCACGGGGACCCCTTGTCCCCCACGTCCCACGAACCCACTATTTGTCCATTTGCCCTCTATTGTGACGGATCAACCCCGGACCCCTGTGGACCCCATTGGCCATGCCCCCCAGGTCCCACAAACCCACTATTTGGCTATTATAATGGCGGAATGAGCCCGGACCCACGGGGACCCCTTGTCCACGCCCCCCCCCACATCCCACAAACCCACTATTTGTCCATTTGCCATTTAATGAATGGGATAGCTATGGCAGGTTAGTGGGATGATTGCCCACTAACCACTTAAAGCGTTCCCATACAATGAATTGCAAGTGGGACATGTGTCCATTTGCCATTTAAGGAATGGTATCACTATAATAGTTTAGCAGAATGAATGTCCACTAACCATTTAAAGCATTCCCATTCAATAAATTGCAAAAGGGACAAGTGTCCATTTGGTATTTATTGAATGGGATAGCTATAGTAGTTTATTGTCCACGAACCTATTAAACCGATACCATTCAATAAATTGGGAGTGGGATGTGTGTCCATTCGCAATTTATTGAATGGGATCGCTCTAATAGTCTAGTGGGATGATTGTCCACTAACCTATTAAACCAATCCCATTCAATAAATTGGGAGTGGGATGTGTGGCCATTTGCAATTTATTGAATGGGATCATTTGAATAGGTTAGCGAGATGATTGTCCACCAACCTATTAAAACGATCCCATTCAATAAATTGCAACTGGGACATGTGTCCATTTGCCATTTAAGGAATGGTATCACTATAATAGTTTAGTGGAATGAATGTCCACTAACCATTTAAAGCATTCCCATTCAATAAATTGCAAAAGGGACAAGTGTCCATTTGGCATTTAATGAATAGGATAGCTATAGTAGTTTATTGTCCACGAACCTATTATACCGATACCATTCAATAAATTGGGAGTGGGATGTGTGTCCATTCGCAATTTATTGAATGGGATCGCTCTAATAGTCTAGTGGGATGATTGTCCACTAACCTATTAAACCAATCCCATTCAATAAATTGGGAGTGGGATGTGTGGCCATTTGCAATTTATTGAATGGGATCATTTGAATAGGTTAGCAAGATGATTGTCCACCAACCTATTAAAACGATCCCATTCAATAAATTGGGAGTGGGATGTGTGTCCATTTGCAATTTATTGAATGGGATCGCTATAATAGGTTAGTGGGATGATTGTCCACTAACCTATTAAACAGATCCCATTCAATAAATTGGGAGTGGGATGTGTGTCCATTTGAAATTTATTGAATGTTATTGCTATAATAGGTTAGTGGGATGATTGTTCACTAACCTATTAAACAGATCCCATTCAATAAATTGGGAGTGGGATGTGTGTCCATTTGAAATTTATTGAATGTTATTGCTATAATAGGTTAGTGGGATGATTGTTCACTAACCTATTAAACAGATCCCATTCAATAAATTGGGAGTGGGATGTGTGTCCATTTGTACGTTATGTACCCCTTGGAGCTTTTTTGCGTCAAAAAAA